TGTCTGAGTCATCACCATATCCCTGTATGGCACAGGGCTGGGCCCCAGTGGGGCCTGGGGGGTGCTTGCTGAAGAAACCCGATGAATGAACAAAGGAATGTCAGTCTCCTTACAAAGGGCCCTGGCTGGGGCAGAAGCTGGCCCTGGGCAGACAGCACTTAAATTTGCAGAATGTCTCACAACTATCCTAAAACAGACTCCTCGTGTGGCGCCCATTGTGGGTCAGGCCTCAGGGCCATCCCCACTGAGGTTGCCTGGTCCCTTTCCTGCAACGGGTGCGAGGTCCCTGCTGTATCACGTGCAGCAGAAAGGCGGTTTTGACCCCCCAACCCCAGGTCTCCTGTTCTGAGACCAGTCATGGCTCCAACAGCACCCAGACTTCTGGGAAGATGAGAATATTTTCAGTCAGCCAAATGTTCCAAGCGTCTTTGGATTTGGAGGTTGTACAGACTGTGTCAAGTTGGGAGTGGGGGATGGGGAGACCCTTAGGAGAGGGAAAAAGTCCACTTGCTCCATGTCTTCCAACCTGGCTCTCATGTTGGCTCCCACAAAGGTGCTATTTGCAGGGACAGGACAGCACTGGGTCCAGGCAGGGCCCATGTACTGCAGTGTTCCATCTGGGTTGTGGGAGGATGGGTGGGGGCTGGGACACTTTAGCTACACAGGAGGGGGCCAGAGCCTGCTCCCCAGAGGGAGGCATCCCTGCTCCTGATCCCCAGGTCTGTCATGGACAGAGGCCTCTGTGGACCAGGTCCAAGCTGTTGATGGCTGACCTAGGGGTTGACCAGGTAAAGCCCACTGCCCATAGTCTAGGCCAGGCCTGGGGAGGGTGGCACCTACTTTTCTAGACAAGGAACCCACTGTTCTGGGGCCAGCCTGGGAGTCGGGTGGCCTTTCATCTGGGACATCAAAGCCCAAAGCCCTGTCATTATAGGCTGGGAACCCCGTGGGGAGCATATGAGTCCCACTACGCCCATTTTATGGATGGGAACACTCCAGGCATCTAGAACCCAGCTCTGTGATGGAAACCCAAGCCAGGGCAGCCTGCCTAATGCCTCCTACAAGGTGTCTGTATGTCTTGCTTAGGGGATATTTAAGGAAACAGGCCAGGGAGGAAGGGGCTAGTCAAACCCCATTCCTGTCCCTCCCTGGAGCGCAGGTTGGGACTCTGCAGGGAGCATTCCCAGTAGCGTGAAGCCTGGTAGGAACCCACTGTTCTGGGGCCAGCCTGGGAGTCGGGTGGCCTTTCATCTGGGACATCAAAGCCCAAAGCCCTGTCATTATAGGCTGGGAACCCCGTGGGGAGCATATGAGTCCCACTACGCCCATTTTATGGATGGGAACACTCCAGGCATCTAGAACCCAGCTCTGTGATGGAAACCCAAGCCAGGGCAGCCTGCCTAATGCCTCCTACAAGGTGTCTGTATGTCTTGCTTAGGGGATATTTAAGGAAACAGGCCAGGGAGGAAGGGGCTAGTCAAGCCCCCATTCCTGTCCCTCCCTGGAGGGCAGGTTGGGACTCTGCAGGGAGCATTCCCAGTAGCGTGAGGCCAGAGAAGCCTGGCGTAGAGCTGTGGATGCCGAGTAAGCAGCTAAGGAGAATGGTCAGTAAGGAGGACAGGGACCTGAAGCCAGAGGGCCCGGGGCACCCGCCCAGGCTGTGTAGGGGCACGGGCTTGGAGCTGCTCAGGCGCCAGATCTCACAGGCTCAGAGGCTTGCCTGGCACCTGGCCACCTGCTCCCTTAAGGTGAACTACTCACCTGACTCAGCTAGCCAGTTCAGGCCTGTTCTGCCTGCCCTAACTACCTCAAGCCTGGCACCGAAAAACGTGTGGGGAGGAGGGGCAAGGGCTTCCAGGGCACAGTGGGGGACTAAAAAGAGGCCAGAGCCAGGCTGTGGGGACAGGCAGGGCAATGGCTGAGCTACATGGCTTCAATCCCAGCTCCTTAGTGAGAACTGCTATGAGTGTTGCTTGGCTCCCTGTGCAGTGCTAGGCCTGCTGCCCCCTGGAGTCCACTGCCCCTGCGTGTGTGTGTGTGTGTGTGTGTGTGTGTGTGTGTATGTGTCTGTGTCTGTCTCTGTGTCTGTGTCTGTGTGTGCATCCCCTTCTCCAAAGATTGGGCTGGGCAAGGAGGAAGAGGAGCCAGGGACCTTCATCCTAGACTCAATTCTGTCATGGGACAGAGCAAGCGGCGTGGAGTCCTCAGAACTGACCTGGAGAATGAGTGCTCAGCTCTCAGGGGTTCCTGTGAAACCCCCCCTGTGCTGTGGATATAGTTACAGAGGTGGGAAGTGACTCACAGAGATGGTGAAGGATGGTGACACCACGGAGTGGCAACAGTGGCAGCAGTCAGGGAGGAAGGATGGTGGTGGGTGTTGGTGACAGCATGACCAGCAATCTGGGTGGTTTGGTTCTTCTCGCCTTATCCTTCTCTGCCCATTTGTCTTGGGGTTCCAGCCCTTGTGGGGGCCAGCTGGATGGCCATGGGCCTGTTCCTAACTTGTTTTTTCCCTTGGGAAGCACAGTGAAGTTGTCTAGCTAGGCTCTAGCTATAGCAGCCCAGGAACCTGGGTGATGGAACTTAGCTAAGCAGATAGCAGTCATTGCCTCAAGTGCCCTAGTGATGTCTAATCCCCATTTGTCTCTGAGCCTCAGTTTCTTCTTTTCCACCAATGCCATGACTGTGTGTTTAGGTGCTGATCCTCTCTTGGGTCTCACCCAGTACCAAGCCTGGTTGCCTTGGGCTCACAATGCCCTGGGTTCTGTGGAAGTGGCCCCAGCTTTAGAGGACCCACCTCATGGTCCTGAGGGAAACACAAGGCCCTGTGCAATAACCATACCCGCCCAGGAGAGCCTCCCCCCCCCAATCCCTGGGCTGGTAGGCACCTTTTGGAATGAAGGTTTCCCCCAGCTCCTCTCCTAAGTCAGGAGCATTGGGGCCAGGCTCTGGGATCTGCTCCCAGCAAACAGGAAGTTTGGAGAGAGATCTCTCCCTCCTGATATTGTGTTTAGCAAGGCAGGATCCAGGCTGGTTTCCACACAGGAAGCCCTGGAGGTTGGGAGGGGCTGGGAAGGAATTCCCTGAGCTGCCAAGAGGCCAGGCTTCCTGTGGGTGAGGTATGCTGGGGTCTTGGTAGGGAGCCAAGAACCAGGCCAGGGTGGTGGGACCCACTCAGAACCCCAGGCTGGTGGCTTAGAAATTCTCAACCCAAGTAATGATTGTGGTCATAGTGTCTCTCCTTTCACAGAGTCCCAGGAGTGGGCAGGAGCTGAGCAAGGGACATTTGCAATTTCATGACAGAGACCTCTAGGAGAGATAAGAGAGGTCAGGACATTCAGGACATCCCTGGGTCCTTCTGTCCAGGGACTGCCCAACATTCACCAACTAGGCTTGGCTGTCCCTTGGCAGCCCAAGGGTCTTCTCCAGATGACTTCCTCACCAAAGTTCTTAAGTGCCCCCCATCCCCTATCCCAGCTACATCAAAATGCAGTCTTTAGCACACACTGGAGGTGCGGGCCTGTCATCCCAGCTACTCCAGAGGCAGAAGCAGGAGGATCTATCATTCAAGGCCTGTCTGTGCTTATAGAGCAAGACCTTGTCTCAATATAAAAAAAATTCAAAAGGTCTAGATGAAGATCCGTGGTAGCCGTGCTTAGTGTATATGAAGCCCCAGATGCAGTCTCAGCTAAAATAAGCCAACAAAACTTAGCCTTTTACTGTACTATATTTGTTTCCAAATTCTTTAAATTAATT